CCTTGTTAGCACTTTTATTGGAATTGTATCAAACTTACAAAACCAATTTTGGAAGAACCAACATCTTTTCAATACAAAGTCCACATATTTTTGAACATGGTAGATCTCTGGGTTTAGTTAGGTTTTCTTTAAGTATTATAATGTTGTCCCATAGGAGTCATACATGGCTTCAATTATATTTATCCCTAAGCATGTTACATTTTTGCTGCGATTATAGACAGTGTTTTTAATGGCTTGTCACTGATGGTTAGAAGGTAATTAATTTGTTTGTTGATCTTATAGCCAACAAACTTTAACAAACTCCCTTATTAATTCTAATTATTATTTTTAAGGGTCTCTGGGGTTTTTCTCTGTGGATAATCATAAATTGTCCATAAAAATGGAAATTTTGTTTTTTTCTTTCCAGTAAGAACTGAATGCCTCTTGCTTTTACATTCTTCTCTCATTATGTTGGCTAAGGCATGCAATATTGTATTGAAAAGAAAAGCAAAGAATCAACACCCCTCTCTTCTTCATTTTAAGAGAAGTGTGAGTGTGAGGGTTTTCATAGATTTTTGGCACATGTACTTTGCGGGGCTAAAGAAGTTCCCTATCACTCAGGATGTGCAAGCACAGAAAGAAACGTGTTTTACTGCCCACATTTGACAAATTGATACCTTGGAGCAACAACAGTGACCCTTCTCATCCTCCCAAAAAGCTCCAGTTCAAACAGTAAGTTACATGTTCCCTCTAAAGAAGGATGACATCAGATGGCACTGCTAGAGAGGCAAGTTGGGCCTTGGAGTCCACGAGAGGTAAGAGGGCCTTGGAAGTTTCTGTCCGCCCAGAGGTTCCAGAATGTTCCCTGCCTAGTTGCTTTTTCCTCAGACAAAGCAACAAAGCATCAACTACCTGCTCCTTCCCTCTGCAAATGCATGAGGAGAAATGCCCCAGAGACAGACCCAATATGGCCCAATTTGCCATAAGAGAAGCAAGAAACTCACACAAAATGGAGTAATTATCTTATCAAAAGCCAGCATGGTTGGCAATCTGAGAAGGACGCCCCGACAACAACCTGAACTGTCACATGCTCTATTTTGTCACTTACATCCTTAATATAAATGCAAAATTGTGAAAACCAGGGGTGAGATTGAACGGCAGTGGATCCATGCAGACACCGGGGCATGAGCCACTTATTGAAGACATAAATTATAGGGCTGTCACCATCACCCATCCTATTTGCAAATAAATGTTGTCACCTAATTGTACCAGACTTGGAGACTGTTTAACAAGTTTCTCTGAGGCAGGGCTCCACAGCAGCCTGGACTCCGCAGACACCCAGATCCTATCTGTCCAGTCAGGTCGCCTCTTGGCATGCGGCTCTTTGTGTTTTGCATGACAGGCACTGTTATCCCCTCTCCTCAGCCTTTCTTGGAGATAAAGCTACAAAGGTCTGATATGTTTCTTGACTGATTCCATTAAAGAATCATTAAGAATGAAAGATGGAGAGAGGCAGGCTCTGAAAAACAGTAGGGAAGGGGGGGCCCCTCCTTGATTCAAGATAAATCATCAGGCAGAAGGCCCCGGATGGGGGTGTTTAGCTGAAAACCCTGCCTTTCCCACTTGATCATGCTAGAGGAAAAAAAAGTCACACAGAAAACAAAGGAGGCAAGGGCTGGAAATAAAGCCTAGGGTCTTTGGGTCCCTGGGTCCCTGGGGTGTGACTCTGAGCCTGTGGATGCCCCATTTGCCACCTACCAGGAGCACGGGCGACCTCTGGAATGACATGACAGGGGAGAAGGGCAGAGCCGCTGATGCTGGGTAGGCCAGACTCCTGCATTCAATCATCAGCCAGCCACTGAGCACGGCTCAGTTTGGATCCCCAGAAGCAGACTCTCAGGTAAGGATTTCATGGCAAGCAGTCTGTTCAGAAAGAGAAACACCTGGAGAGGAGACTGTACGTCAGTCTGGGAAGGGAAGGTGGCAGTAGAGTCAGTTATGAGTCCTGGAGTGACCTCTAAGGTCCGGTCTATACAGCCTGTGCTTTAGGCGTATCCCTCCAGAGAGGGGAGGGAGCTAGGTATTTACACACTGAGTCAAAGGTCAAAGGTAGAGGTCAAAGCCTGTCTTCCCAATGGTGCTGTGTCCCTACTTCCCATCTTTCACTCAGGGGGACAAAGTAGGTTTCATCCACCCAAGTCCTTAAGCAAAGAAAGGTAAAAAGTAGCAGCAGTTGGAAAGAAAGTCAAGTGACCTTAAAATGAGAAAGACTAGGAGATGTGGGGAAGGTATCAACATCTGCTACCAGCTCCTATCATGGGGGCAGAACTGTGCCATGGGCCTTGGCCACAACTCTAAGTCAGAATCCGTCCCTGACCACAGAGGCATACCCGGCACCTCTTCCATTGCTTCACAGGACAGACAGGTCCTGAGTCTCCCACAAGCCCAGGCCTTGGCATTCACTTGGGAGTCACCTCTACCTTCTCTGAGACCTTGACCTTTGCCCTGTCCTTTGCCTCCATCTCCACCACTCCAAATCTCAGCCCCTGAACTCAGGCCCTTCATTCACAGCATTAATGATAACAACAATGCTGACCTGTACTATTATTGAGCATGTGATGCATCGATGCTCTCTCATTTAAAACTCTAAAACAACCCCAGCCTCATGCCCAAGCTCCTAACCCTGCTCTTGCCTTGGTTCATGGCACCTTCTTGCAAAGCACCGTGACCTAAATCAAGCACAAGGTGCCCAAAACCCTCTGGCCGCTGCATTTAGGCAGCTGGTCGCTCCTTTACCTAGGTGAGCCCTGCAGTGTTTGCTCAGGTTCCATAGCCATGACCTGCCCAGGCCCCGTCAGCACAGTTCCCATGATACCCTGTAGCTAAAGTCCCAGTTTGTGCTGAAAGCCCCCTTCTGCTGCAGAAGTAACCAGTCCTGTCTTTCAAGAGCAAGCCATGATCCTCATGCTCCAAGTTCAGAGCCCCAGAAGCAGAAGAATAGAAAAGAAGATTTCTGCTGTCCCTCTTGGTTGCTTTAGAGAAACACCAAATTTCATCTTCTTTTCCTTTGTCCAACCTTCGCAGCTTCCCCCTAAAAATGGGGAATTAAATCAAACCCTACTCCAAAGAGTTTTGATTTTGCTTCTGGTGGATTAATACTGCATTGCCCTGTCTCTCATGATATATTTTCCTGGAGCTCTCTAGACACAGTGCCCTGGAAAGAAAGGGGTGGTTTTCATGGTGGGAATCCCAGCCCCAGTGTCAAGATAGTAGGAGACTATTGGGGGGGGGGGGGGAGGTAGGGGCAGAGGATGTATTTGTCTGCCCCTTGTCTCTTGCATCTAAGGAACTCAGATGTAGAGCCTGGGAAATTCAGGCCAAAAGGAGTCAATGACAAGACCAAAGGAAAGATAATCGCTCTTTATTGGGGAAAAAAAGAAACCACAGAGGAAGGCCCGAACTGCTTATCTTGCATTCTGGCAGAACCACAGACCACCAACTCAGATACTTCAAAAGACCCCTGGCTCCACTCCCCAGCTCCTCCCTGGGGGGGCTCCTGCAGAGAGAACATCATAATACATCTCCTCATTTTCTCCTGCACTTTTGAAGTCAAAGTGTGGTCTGGTTAATTAGATGTTAGTGGGGGCCGGGGGCGCTGGAATCCAAACTCAATAAATCTCATTTCTGAAAGACAAAGAGGTCAAGTGCATATTAAACTTGAGCCTTGGGGAGCTCTGCCGGGGCACTTATTCAGCCAGAATCCTTGCTGTTTGGGCAGAGAGATTGCCAGGCAGCTTTGGGAGGCTGGCTGGGTGCGAAGGCAGCCCTGGAAGGGTGCCCACCCTGCATTGTGGAAGAAAAGAGTGGGGTGGGGGGAGTCATTCAAATGTTTTCAACATAAATAGCTCGACTCCTCAGTCAGAATTTGAAATTCCTGCCAATATCCGACTTCTTTCATGAGCTGAGCCCAGTAAACAGACGGGTTCTCCTGCTGAAATCAAATCTACCAGCTCGCCTCGCTCGCTCGGGGATGGGGCTGGGAAGTACTGGGAAGGGTTCACCACAAGCCCCTGGAGCATACCTCTGCCCTTCCCAGCCTTATCTCAGAGCCACAGCCCTCAGAGGCAACTGCTTTGGTCTGTCCTTCACCTCCCCATTTCCTTGACCGGCTCAGAGACAGGCATGCCCACCCCACACCCTAGCCATGAGGATGATTCTGTGGCTTTGGGATAGCCAAGACCCATCAGAGGTCCATGTGGCAAGAGATCTTGTCACCAAGAATAAGGACTAGTACTATGCAGACCCAGGAACTGGATGGAGCAAGGTCAAACACAAGTCCTTCTACTTCTCAACTTTGATTTTCCAGGCTATCACCCACCCCCAGGTCCTAGAGATTGAACCCAGGAGCACTCTGCCACTGGGCTACAATTCCAGCCCTTTCTTTAATTTTTTCTATTGAGACAAGATCTAGCTAAATTGCAAAGGCTGGCCTCAAACTTGTCATCCTCCTGCCTCAGCCTCCTGAGCAGCCGGGATTACAGGCCTTTTACTTTCCCACCTCGGTCCATGAGCGAGCTCAACCTACTTTCTTTTCCAGGATCCTGGTCAGCATTCAGCCAACCTTGTCATTTCCAACTTGGGTACAAATTTTTAATAAAACACACAAGAGTTCAAGGCTAGGTCCATCCGAGTGCATTGTGAATCTCCCTCTCATTCTGTTTGTTTTCTTCTTCTTTCTCTTTTAGTATGTTTTGATTGGGGAACAAAGGTGTTAGTCATGCATGAGATGCCCACATTAAGGAAATTACTGATTCGGCAGTTTAATTACATTTGGAGGCCACTAAATAGGATTGTTTCCCTTTATTTAGACAGCCTGGATCTTCTTAGTCATGATTTGGGAATGTGAAAATCCAAGTGCTGCTTTATCTTGAAAACTTACCAAACCCATCACAGCAGTTTCTCCGAGCAAACGAAATGTCGTGTTGAGACACTGCAGTTCGGATGTCCCTAAACCCTCTATTTAAGATTTCTCGTCTGGCAAAATCCACCATCGCCTGCCACAGAGCCGGGTGGGTGGTAACAGGCTCTAATCGTAGTCCCCGGTTCTATTTCTGCAGAATGAAGGCACTCAGCTGTGACGGTTCCTCGTCCCTGCACCCGGGTTTTCCTTCGAGGGCTCCTGTTTCGAAGAGAAGCCTTTTTTGTTGTTGTTGTTTTAACTCGACCAAGAGACGGTCTATTGTGGTGGCAAGAGTCCTGCTAAACTAACAAGGCTGAATTCAAAGCCGACAGGTACCAGTCTCTCTAAATATCAGAAACCCAGTGTGGGAGATCACCAAGAGCTGATTCCAGTCTGACCACCCCATCATCTAAATTCGGAATCAGAGGAAGCCTTTCCCAGTGACCAGACTGGTGGCTCCCATCTGCCCAGTCTTTGCTTCCTAAAAATAAGTTACCCAGAAGCCTCAGCGCTATGGTTGAGAAGGAAGCAAAATAATCAGTTGTCAGGGAGACGGTTCCTTTGCCAAGCCACGGGGGGAGCCCCTGGAAGAGCAGAGGCCACCACCTCCAAAAGCCCAGAAACTTGGGTGGTGAGAGACATGGCTCAAGTTCAAGGAGCCCCCTCCCATGCAAATTAAACCACAGTCAGCCGTCACTTCATGCCTCCAAGACTGGCTATTGCCAAAAGACCAAAGGTAAGGAGGGTCGGCAAGGATGGGGAGAAAGGGAAGCCTTCTTGTACACTCTGGGCAAAATGTTTTTGACATAGCCTGTGGGGAAAACTGTGTGGAGATGCCCCAGAAAATTAAAAATAGAATGACAATATAAAACAGCAATCCTTCTCCTGGGTAGGTATCCAAAGGGTATGAAATCAGTTAGTGGGAGAGATATCTGCCCCCTCCTGGTCATGGCAGCATTGTTCACAGGTTACCTAATGACATAAAGTTAAGTGTCCGTCAACCAAGGAGTGGAGAAAGAAACCATGGTAGAGGACCCCAATGGAATACCACACAGCCTTTACAAAGATGGAAATCCTACCTTTTGCAACAATGTGTATAAACTAGAAGGACATTAAGTTGAGCAAAATAAACAGGGTCCAGAAAAACAAAAAGTCACATGATTTCACTTACATGTAAAGCTTAAAAAGTTAAGAATCACAGAAAGAGAAAGCAGAGTGGAACTTACCAGAGACTGAGGGATAGAGAGGATGGGGTTGATGTTGGACACGGGTCACAAAATTTCAGTGAGACAGAAAAAATAAATTCAAGAGATCTATTACACATGGTGAGTGCTATTGACAATAGAGTATATACTTGAAAATTACAAAGAGTAGATTTTAAATGTTCTCATGACCCCCAAAAAATAAGCATGTGAAGTCATGTCTCTGCTTAATAACCGGATTTTGTAATTCCACAGTGTATACATATATCAAAGCATCAGGTTTTACACCATAAATATGCATACTTTTTATTCATTAATTAAAATTAATTAATTAATTAATGGCCCTCTCCACCCCACCCCCAGAATAATCCCAAGACTCTGAATGCCCAGTGGATGTGACCAGAGTCCAGACCTTTCCTGACACTGGGCTGGCTCTTTCCCACCAGCCCACCCACCAGGACAGAGACCACACACAGGACAAACCTGGACACTCAGTGGAGTGGCCTAAAAGATGAGCCTGAGATAGTTCCACAGCCTGTCCCAGAAGTGCTGTCTTAAGTGAATGTGACTTCCCAGGCTGGGTGGGGGCCTCTCGTAAAGTATGTAGCATCCTCCCAGTGGAAAGGCTGCCACGCGTGCTTCTTCCAGCCTGTGTTCCACGGTAGCGTTCAAGGGCAAGGAACTGGGTGGGCCCTTTCCAGGAAAGCCCCTGGCCCCGCCCCTGGCCCCACCCCTGGCCCCCAGCTGTGCTCACCACCTTTTGTGCTTCCTCATCTACCTGACCTGGACCTCCCAACTCTTTTGGCCCTGTCTGTGGGCCAAAGGGGAAGGTATGGGATAACTAGACTCTAGGGTCCTGGCCTCTAAGTCCCCTTCAGTCACTGCCACCACCTGCCACACCTGGGCCCTGATGGAGATGTGTGCACAATGGTCTGAGATAACAAATCCACCATCTTCATTTATCTCACGTTTCCTGCAGGCTTCTGAGGATCCAGCTGGGCCATGAGGATGGAGGATTTTACCTAAGCTGGAGGCAGTGAGGATGGTTGTCTTCCCCCCCCTCCCCTTACTCAAATGCCAGACCTTTAACTTCCCAAGGCTGAAAGAAAGGAGACCAAGGAGAGTAAGGGGGAGGAAAAAGTCATTTTTCCTTAGTGTAACCCTAGACCAAAAAATTCTGGTTTGGTCACCTCATCCTAATCAATGACACTATGCATTATTCTCTTGACTAGATAACATTTTGAGATTCATTTCTCTTTTGGCAAAAAAAAAAAAAAACAGTATCTTATTAAATTAAAAATGAAAAGATGGAATACTATTCAGCCATAAAATAGAAATCCTGTCATTTGCAGCAACATGGATGAACTCAAAGTACACTATTTTACATGAAAGAAAAATAATGCATGACCTCACTCAGGTGGAAGCCAAAGAAGTTAATTTCATAGAGGAGGAGAGAATAGAATATTGGTTACCATAGGCTAGGGGTAAGAGAGGGAAGGGAGAGAAGGAGAGATAAGTCAGTGGGTATAAAGTAAGAGTTCAAAGAGGAGAAATAATTTCCGGTGTTCTGTTTCACAGTTGGGTAACTATGGTTAACAATATTGCATTAAATATATCACAACAGCTAGCAGAGAAGATTTGGAATGTTCTGACCACAAATAAATGTATGAAGTGATGGATATGCTAAATACCCTGATTGTATATATAATGTATAACTGTATTGAAATATCTCACTGTAATATTTTAATAAGTGTGTACAAGTATTATATGAATCAAAAACAAATAAAAATTTAAAAATATATATAAATGCAGGAAAAAAGGTTTTTAGAGTTCTCCCAAACAGTGAAGCAAGTGAGACTGGACCTGTCCTCTTACTACAAACAACTGGAGAGCTATAAGAAATATAGGAACCAAGTGGTTTTCATATATTGGCCAACAGACTGTGCAAAACTGTGACCCATGGAGGAAGGTAAGTCAGGTGAGCTCCACCCTAGATTTCCCTGGCTTTCTGCCTGAACTAGCTGCCCAGACCATTCAGGGACATGAAGCTCAAACAGACCACAGTGAGAAGACAGTGATGGAAGTTCTGCTGAGGCAGACGGAATGCATGGGGTAAGGTCCTGGTGAGCAGAAAGGCACCAAATAAGGAATTCCAGAAATCTGCAGAAGGGTCCTCTTAAGTTTTTGGTCAGACACTAAACTGCATTCACACAGCACAAAACACCAAGAGACATGGCTACAAAGAGCTACTGAGAACCTGTGAGCTGTGTGGAGACCCCACAGGCCTGGGAGGCAACATTTCCAACCAGCCAAAGGGGAGGTAAATCCCTGAGCACTCACCTAGCCATTCAGCTGAAATGCTAGAAGGAGCACACTATAGCACTCTAACCTACAAAAAAGATTACTCTAAAAGCACTCTTGAAAGGCTTTTATAAAAGCCTGAAAGGATTAAGTAGGTTTTAATGTAAATTAACTTACTATCTCCAAGAAAAAAAATATATCCTATACTCCTTAAGGGAAAATAACAATATCTGGAAATTCACCAATGTGCTATTCATCTCCCGCATAAGGTGAAAAATTTTAGATCATATGAAAAAATACCAAGTGATCCACAAGCAGAAGAGGAATCCATTAATAAAACCAATGAAGAACACTGGGAATGAAGCACAGGCCTAATGTTCCAGCTATTAGAGAAGTGGCATACGGAGACTCATTTGATCCCAGGAGTGAGAAGCCAGCCTGGGCAACACAGAGAGACCCAGAGAAAGAAGGATGGGAGGGAGGGAGGGAGGAAGGAAAGAGAGAAAGAGGGATGGAGGGAAAAGGAAAAGAGAAATAGAATAAAAACAATACAGATGTTGGAAGGATCAGACAAGCATTTGAAAATAGTTATCATAAATATGTTAAAATATTTAAATGAAACATACCATCATGAATGAAGAGATGCACCATTTTAGTAGAGAAAAGGAAACTATAAAAAAAAAACAAAA